AGGTGCGTTTCTATCAGTCTTCCTACCATTATGACCAAGTTGCGAAAACAAGGTCAAACAACTTATATAACTGGCAAGTTGTGGATCAAATGAACTCCGTAAATAAATATAGACATGGGTGCTGATGAGAGATAAGCGAGGTTTAAACTGCAGTCCATCTTGGAGAATAATATCTTTTGGAAAGCAAAGCTAAGTGAAATTAAACGGAAAGATAAGGCCTACTCATATTATTGTGAAAAGTCCTTCATTATCTTGTGACGAATGGAACTCTTGCAGAAATAATAAAGCCAAATTAATTCTTTGAAGATTATGAGTAGTTAAGCTCACTAACGAATAGTTTATTCAGACCCTTAGTGAACAGTGTTATAAAATATATTAGATACCCTATGCAAAATAATTTGTTTGTCACTGATCAGAAGTAGAGGATAGATGAAAATGGCTAAAACTGGCAATTAAGAAGGGAGCAGGCTCTTAGTCATCAACAATCTTAAATACGTCCTCTGGAATCAAAACGGTGGCATTTAATTTCCCATACTACGATTTCATACATATAAAATAAATATTGAAATATTGCAGTACGTTTCACAAGGTCTCCCTATCGCTTCGACCAAGTTGCGAATACCAATTCGAACCAAGGCTTGTGGTTTTTTTAATGCAGTGAAATCAGTAAAAAATTAAGTAGAATAGCTTTACCGGTCCGTTTTATTTCTTCTGTCTCAAGGCGGCGCTTTTTGGCTGGTAGGCCATTAGAAACAGTTCGCACATTGCACGCCGTTGCTGTAATATCTGCAGAACTGGGTGAATCCGTTCCATGAGAGTCTTTTCCAGATGCTGGGAGAAGTTGATCAACTCCAGGAAGAAGTGAATTAATATCATTTATTACGCCAATACAGGCACCAGAGCCATCATCAGAGGTCGATTCATCAAGTCTTTCAATTTCGCCACCGACAGAGCTTGAAGCTGCCTCGGCAGCCTTGGCTATGGCTGCGGCAAGTCTTGAGCGACGGAGACGTCCAACCAAGTTCCAGTAGGCAGAAGATTGTGACTCAGTCATTGGGACATGAATGGTCTCAACTGTCTTCGGAGGTAGCTGAGATAGCACCTATATTTGTGCAGAAAACGATATAGCAATAATAATGGTTTAATTAACTTAAATCTACCTCCTCGAACTGAATAATAAGTTTCTTGAGCTAGAAAACAGACAGAATAATTCATTAAATGCACATTCATAAGCTCGACAAAATCATAAGAGAAGTAAGCAGAGTGATAGAGAATAAGCGCGGACAAAATGTGATAAAGCTTTACATAACTTAAGATGATGCACAAGTGAATATAGTAAAGGGAGTTATTTAAAGCAGGTCTCAGTTCTTGATGTAAAGGAAAATTTATCAGACATCATATCAAACAACTTCAAAGATAATATCCAAAGCAACCAATTGAATTTGACGGAAACCATATAGGTGCTTATATGTCTCGATAAATCAGGGATCAGTAAAAAAAAGCTAAGAGGGTGAAGAGGGCCAAAATTCATAATAAAGTTGAATAATATGATGAGAACAGGAATAATTTTATATATATAGACGCGCGTCGCATTCAAATAATAGAATATTGTTGCAAATAGAATTGGTAACAGCAGTTATAAGTATAGAAGTTGAAAGACTGATTGAATAAGATGAATAATCCTAAAGAAAGATATGCAAAAAAGATCTCACTTCTGCCTTGACACGCCGCAGGCAAAAAGGCTTTAGCAGATTTTTGGCTTGATCTAGTTTTTCAGCTTCAAACTGACTTCGATTGCTGGAGCCGGCCGAATACTGCTGCTGCTTAGCTCTGTCATTCTTGATTTGTTCAGTCGTCTTCTGTAAGAAAAATAGCAAAATAAGCACACACAAAATCACAGAAAGAGGGTAAGACTATATAGCGGGCATCATGACTTGTAAGGATTATTCATAAGAAATATAAGACAATGGGTGGCATAGCCCCTTTGGAAAAGTCTATCACCTTCGAAAGAACCATCCATTCATACGTAAAAAGATTGGGCCTAGTATGGAAGCCAGTCTTAGTTACATAAAAGGAATAAACACCCGGCGTAGGAACAAGAGAAAACGGTACAACCAAGCTTTAAATACGAACGGTTATGAAATAACCTCAACTATGATCGTCCTCCGCAAAAATTCCCGCCAAAAATATCCTTTTCAAACGATGTAATAATATCTATATTAAAAAAATATATGGGCATGTGACACTCTGTATATTGTATTACCGAAATTGCGTCAAAATTCAGAAAAGCATCCCAGTGATTGGACCGTCTTTTGAGATAAAGAGATTAAAAGGGCAATCTCACCAGAAGACGACGTATGATGAACGTTCTGTGGTCGTTTGACTTTAATATGTCGTCCAGATTGAAGGAATCCACGAGACATCCGACCTCGTTTGGAGTGAAAGCGGGCTGTGCTTTCGGAATCCATTCTCGTCATTCTTAAATCAGCACTAAGTGAAGAAGACTGTTTCATTAAATCAAAACTACTGCGGAACGAGAGCCAGCCCTCGTCTTCTGATGAGATCGACTTACGAATCTCTCCACCAAACACATTCATAAAAAATTAAAGCTTTCATAGGAGCCAATAAGTTTCTTAAAAAGGGTTTAAAAAAAACCCCTGAAAATGCAACCACGTAAAGTTAAATGATGCAACCAAAATGCACAGTTTGCTTTAAAACATATGACTTCAGCATATTTTACAAATGTAAGAGCGGCCAAGAGATTAGTTAGACATTTGAGGTCAATATTTTAATTACCGAAGTTAGATATAGTATTATTACAATTAGGGTCATACCGAGTAAAGCTGAAACATTCGTTTTAGTTGCTCTGTGCTTCGCAGAAATACGTCAGGCATGACGAAGGCCAGTAGCGAGATTAACTCGAGCAGATTATTTTGCAATGGAGTACCAGTTAACAGGAGACGGCGTTTAACGTTGAAGTTGACCAACGTTTTGTAGCGTTGTGAAGTCATATTCTTCAGCATATGCGCCTCGTCGTAGACGCCGTAGTGGAAAGGAATACGTTTGAGGAGGGCACGGTCCTCTATAGTGCTGGTTCCTACAGCGTAACTTCATAATAAAAGAAATCATAAACATGATGGGCAAGCGACTAAAGTCATGTGCCCGTTTTCGCAATAGGGGGTATAAAAAACATAGATATAGAAGGGCTGAATCTAAAATTGAAATATCAATCACAGATACTCCTTCACAAGCAGCAGTTTGGAAGTAGTGCTGAAAACGTTGATAAAAATATCTCTCAAAATGAACAAGTCCTACATCAGAATTCGTTGGAGCCTCGAATAGTTATCAAACAGACTGGATGAGTGTATTTCGCCGCCATCAACCTTCACTCAACAGTAAATAAGCAGATACCTTATAAGAGGCTAAATTTGAGAGGGACCAGACATGTTACGAGAAAACGTTAGAATCAGGGTGGAAAATCAAAAATTGCATCTTTATATATAAATACAAAAATTCATCTAGCCATCCTTAAAACATGCCTATCTAAACACTACCACTTCAGGATTTTTGAGACCAAGATGGTATGGCCTTTTGCTTGGCCGCAGTCGCCCCTAGCTGTATAGTGTTGGTTTGACCTTGTTTATACAAATTGTTTGGAGACAAGGAGACCTTATGGAAGACAGCTAGTTCTGCTATAGTATTAATGACGATTTCCAAGATCGGACCGTTGATTTGGTGCATTCACCACCGTTTCGCCGGCATCGCGCGGTTCTCACTGACGATGCCAGCGAAAAGCCTGGGAATGTGCGATCCATACTAGAAATCATCACGAATACTATGACATAAAAAGTAGAAGTGCCTACATTCCACAGTCTCCCTGTTGCTCCAACCAAGTTGTGAAAAAGAGGTCAAACCAAAATTACTCCTACAAGTGTTGCAGAGATATTATTTAAGAAGTATAGGTCATAATGTGTCAACATCTTATAATTATCTGAATCGTTGTATCTGCCTAAGATACTTGATGGTGAACATTCTTTAGCCTCAAATATGTTTGTTCGAGCGTAGTATTGAAGTAATGATTGATGTTTCATTTCATTTGCACCGGAAATATGAATGGATGTGTTCATACTTAATTAATTTCGCCTGCGGCACTTATTTATAATTTTGTCAGGACCATGGATATATAAGGCGCAATAAGAGACGTTTACAACGGAGAGACATATCGCATTATAAAGACAAAGTAGACAATAATAGGATGTAATCACCATTCATCTCGTCAAAATCGTATAAGGGTATGAGAAGAGCCAAGGTCGTCTCACTCTTAAGGTAGAGGTGATAATTAGATTATACCCGACAAGTAATATGTAGACAAAAAAATCAAGTTTCGTCTAGTTGCAATGGAATCAATATCGAGCATTGTGGCATGCTACCAATCCGCTACACAGCCACGGGTACCATAGGGTAGCAAGGTAGATGTAACATCTAGGGCAAGCCAGGGCTCGCATAAAACACATTGATGATGAAACAAACATGTATTTGCCGTTGCGATTGAAAACAGAGCTTAGTTTCTGCGTTTATCCTTTCCAAGATGATATTGGTATACCTCATAAGGCCATTAAATTTCAGTTAGCCTTGCCTATCAAAAGGTTTTTTCATCCAGACAAGGCTAAGTAAAATTAAATGGCATCCTTAATTGATTAACATCATCGTAAATTTGCTTTCGAAATGCTCGAGGTTGCCTACACCATGGTCATTGAATTTGAAGCAAACATACGTTGAATTATAAACATTAAGATAGATGTCTTGGGGCACACATCAGCATTATTGGTAATGGGTAGAAATTTGAACTACGGTATTATAGTAAATAATAAAGAGACTGAGGTTACGCTTGATTATGTGCATAAATAAGGGCAAAAGTTTTGCTAAAATAATTATGAATTTGATAGTGGCAAAATCAATGACATCTTTTCTACGAAATGAAAACAAAATACGGGTATCAAAACAAACTAGAGGAAATTGCAGCTACTAGATTTTTATGGGATCTTCTGTTAAATAAAGGCGCAAGGATCGAAGATGTCATTTTGCACATAATTTTTAGAACAGCCCAAATACATCTATAAAGCATGAATCCTATATAAATGATTACATCAATGAAATTCATCGGAAATAAGATTCCTGCATGATATATCCGAAGTGTTGCGCTGAGCCACATAAGAGATGAAGTTTCGGAATCAGTAAATCCTAGGTTAAAATTAACCAGCATAATGACACATCACCAACAGCCTTCCATATCTCACTAGCAGTCCCCGTGGTTCGGTTTGACGCCTCATTTACATCATGAAATTTTACAGCTGTCTTCAAGCCCGATATGTTTCCTTTCAGAGGATACATAAGTCATCAATTAATAAATGTAGTTATGAAAAAGTCGCGTTCGAAAATAATGATTCTGATAGGCTTGATGAAGTAATCATGAGATGTAAGACAAGTGTGTATGTGTGTGTGTGTAAGTGGGAGGGAGGTAAGTGGCAATTTAGGACTCTCAGATAGGACAAGAAAAACAAGTGTTTTTTTATAAAACCAAAAAATTGTCGTTTTTA